ATGAATGTGAAAACATCCATCTAGAGTCAAACTCTGCACAGACATCATAACAGCACACTGTAGGAACAAGAAGATACACTGGTTTTATGTTTTACTAGCTTGCTATATTAACATGTAAGTAAAGTTTAGCTTGTTAGCATGCATTAAGGATGTAACGGTAATGTAATAATGTTTGTCGTGTCTCATAGTTGAATAGAAATATCTTTTTATTTGGTACTAATAATTACAGGTAGAGCAGTTATGCCGAGTTTTGCCCGTCCTCGCGAGAGCGCGCAGGCAGAACTCGGCATAACTCCGGAAGTAACTCGGGATTAGTTTAGTTAGAAACGGAAGAAGAAGAAGAAGAAGAAGCAGGGATTTTAGTGTTTAGAGTGAACGTGGACAGAACTTTTAACATTGTAACTTTTCGCACTCTGTCTAACTGTTACCACCTGCGGACGTCTCCACAGTGTCATCTCCCTCCAGACTTCAAGATGTTTAACCGCCAGACGAGCCTGTGGATGGGTGACGTATGTTTGAACTCTCTTTCTCTCACTATGGAAACGTTAGCTTAGCTAGCTGCGCGTGCTGCTTGCTAGCTCGGTTACGTTAAATTAGCTCGGATACGTGACCCCTGTCGGAAAAGGTTAGGCTAACCTCTGTTCTAACAACGTTCAATAAGAACAGCAGTAGTAGTAAAGTAGTAGTAAATGCACCGAGCACCCCTCACGTCCACAGAGCCGTCTCCGCCTTGTAGCAACCGTCAGCTAATGGAGTTACTCGATGCGAGCTAACTTAGCTTCATCGTTGAAGTTCACATACAACGCCATTATGTGGAGCTGCCCCTTTTAACAGGTTAAGTAACGTCACAGAAGAAATAAACTGTACACCAGCGATTTATAGAAGACCCCAAACTCGAGTAGTGTGAGTGAATAAAGATTGGTGGAGGCTCTTTTCATTCAGGAAATCCGAGCTGTAAGTTAATGTTTGTGGCTGCGCCTTGTGCACAGGAATGATAGTGAGCTGGATTGTAACTGAACACAGCACGTATATGTAGTTAGCTAACGTTTGTGTACTACAGCAAATATGCACTGAAGTGTAACCTTTGCTACCCCCCTTCCTAATTTGTGTCTCTTATACAGGCCTTTTATTTTTTGAGGTTAACAAAACACTATGTTTAGCATCTAGCAGTGGTGGAAAGCACCATTAACCATGCTCGCTCGGTCATCATTTTACGCAGCTACATACTTCTGTACTGTTATGAACATTTGGTTTTGGTTCAAATTGAATGTGGTGCATTTAAAATTTCTTTCTGTGTGCTTAGTTGGACCCATACATGGATGAGAACTTCATCAAGCAGGCCTTCAGCGCTATGGGAGAGTCGCCGTTTGGAGTCAAGATCATCACTCACAGGATAACAGGGTAGGACACATACAGCAGCCTCTGTCATTGTAACCCTTTAGGATTGCATCCGCAGTTATATTGACTTTTTAACAATGTATGCCAATTTTTTTTATATACAAAAAACACTTTTCTTGTCTTTCTACTGGCTGTAGTATGGATGTATACAAGTGTTTTGGGGGGCTGGACCTCACTGATGACTGTACAAAAAAGCAGCGTTATCACTGTACAAAAGCATAGACCAAAACTGACAACTGAACACCTCTGTACCCGGTTGTCAGCTGTATTCACTGGAAACTCCCAGTCCCAGCAGAGTCAGGTAATGGGTCCACTACTAGGGCTGGGCGATATGGACCAAAAGTCATATC